CAGAGAGATTTCTTGCAGTGTATGCCATTTAAACAGGGTCACTTCTCAACGTTAAAAAAGAACACATGCACAGCACTTCTATATGCAGCTGTGTTTGAGTGACAGACAGACATGTAGCAGTGGGGCATACTGTATCAAGTGTACTCGAGGGGCATACTGTATCAAGTGTACTCTATTAAGAGTTTGTTTGTATTTCCATCTCTCAGGCCATATCCATGATGGTATCCATGATGACCTGGATAAATTGCTGAAGCACTTATTTTCTCCATCTCAAAAGTAAAGCAATATTTGGCTCAGCTTCAAGCTTTGTTTCAGATTGGGCAAAATAATTTGTTCACATACCATATAATATAGGATGAAACAAAGCCTGGAGTATTGAATCTGGAATAGCACACAATCTACAATCTGTTCCAAGGCTATAATGAAGTGAAGGGTTGGAATGATGCCATCTGAACCATGATACAGGTTACTGCCTCAGAAGGCGCTTCAGTGTATTATTTTATAATGTATAGAAATTGAATGATTTCTTCTCTTTTTTTCACATTCAGTTTCCATTTTCATCTTTTTGCCAGTGGGATATTGGGCAAACAGTGACAGATGGTGGGTTCCCAAGTGTTTACAACATAATTAAACCAGAAGTAACTTGTACCATGGGATTGGATCAGAAGAGATATCTGGATTAATTCTACTATCTCATACAAGTGAATGCTGCAGCGTCTATATACTGTATCTATCAAGCTAGGTCCACTTCTCCTGAACATTTCATGATATCTTATATTTTCAGTTCTTTGCTGTTGTCTTTTATGGACCAAATCTGATGTAAGATTAGGTCAAACCTGGAATGATACCTAATAATTTAAGGATTATGCAATATGTAGCCTGTGATATATTTTTCCCAGGGTCTGATCCCCTGAAATAATCTAGGTTAAAGAGTCTGAGCATTGCTGAGTTGCTGCAATAAAACACTGTACAAGTAGAACACAACAAGCACCTTTTTCAGTTTAGTAAAGGAACACTATTATTAAGATACGTGATTCTAATTTGACCTTCTAATATTTATCATTAAAATGAATCAGAAGGTAAATGCATTGTCCAGTGTGGTAGTGAACCTGTATTTATATGTAGGATTATTACCAGATTCAATCCGTGGTCTGCGATATCAACTAGTCTCAACTGTATGCAATATTCAACCTTATTGCCATTGAGCTAAAAAGTGGAGACTTCAAATATGCCTTCCGGTCTCTATCACTGTCCAGTGATCTCTGTTCAAAATTACATATGGATGGATGTTGGGTGAGGACTGGAACAGGCTCAGCTCTGATCTCCCCGTAATTGAATAGCCTATTGACACTGACTGTGGTCACACATGAAGAATAGATAATTGGTGAGGTTTCACAGGGCATCAACAGACTGTCAATGTATTGACCATTAATTTCAAAACATACAAACACTGAACATTGGGCTAATTCCAATGATCATTGTCATTTGAAAAATATCATGTTTAAAAGTAGTTAGTGCAGGGAACCAAGCAACAACAAATACTTGAGGTTATATAACCTTGCATTTGATATAGCACATTATCACATCATCAAGATGTCTCAACGCTCTGCACAGGATATACTATAAAATGGATTGATTGTATATTTCGTGGGCAAATATGCCAGTCAATTTCACACATCAATATCCCACAAATAGCCATGGAGTGAATGATCATATTATTTGTGGGATTTGTTGGCCAGGACACCGGGCGATACTCCCTTCTCTTTCTGAATAGTGCCCACGGGATCTTTAATGTCCACCTGAAGAGGCAGACAGGAACTTGGTTTAATATCTCATCCGAAGAACGGCACCTCTGATAATGCACATCCCCCAGCCCCTCCAACACTGCAATGGAGTGTCAGTTTAGACAATGTGATTCCAAGTCCTGACATTGGATTCAAACCCACAACCTTCTGACTCAGAGGCGAGAGTGTGCCAGGCTGACACACATAGACTTCATGCATCACAGGGTAGCATCTGAAGTGCTGACAAAACGATTGAGCACCGGTACAAAGTTTATGTACAATCCAATGCACAGTGCTATACAGAGGTGGGATCATTGGGGCTCACTGGAAAATAAAGCTTCTACCAAGCATCACGTGAAACTGTGATACAAGTGTTGGAACATTATCAAATAACAAATTGTTGGAAGGGAATTTTGAAGGCTGGAATGTGATTGACAGCATAAATCAGGAGAAGTAATCCAAACTAGTTAATTAATGTCACCTAAATTCTGACGGTATAACATTCCTCTTCACCTCTGGCTTTGTATTTACCACTTTTTTTAAGAGCATCTTCTGAAAAGCCTACTAAATAAGCAAGTAGATGTGATTGGCACAAAAACTTCTCATTTAAAGTATTTACTTGTGAATGCAAGACAGTAAACCAAGACATGGATTTAGAATTTTAAAGGGCAATTTCAGGGCAGGCACTGCCATCCAAACTGATTTTTCGATGAATCATTATATGATCTCAAAGCTGCTGTTTTTGGAATTATTTTTGTTGAATACAACTTAAATGACTGCAATTTTGTAGTTAACCATTAACAAGGGTTTCAAATGGTTCAAATTGTTTTGATAAAAGTTGGCTCTCAGAATAGAAATGCAGTAGAAAGTTATTTGACCTAGTTATGTTTCTCTTTGACTGTTTAAAGTCACGTCCAGGGGTATGTGCTGAGAATTATGGTTTGATCATAAGCTTGCCAAACCAAGCCTACATTTAGACTACAGACCCCCAAATTCATAGCAGAGGTTATTACAGTAACAAATCAGTAAGTTCTGTATCAATCATTTTATTATTTATGGTGATAGAAATTAGCTGACTCGTGTTGCAGCTAAAAATAAGTGGAACATTCTGAAGTCTGAACTCACCCAAATTCCATGGGTTTAGATGAGCTGACCATTGAGTGGCTTCCTCCAGATTTAGATAATTTCCATAGTCTCCGAAAAGCAAAACTGCACATTTTCAGTGACCTTGAAATGTCATCAAAACATTTCACTTTCAAGTGAGCTGATCTGTATTCATATGAACTTCTAGTTTCAATTTGTTATCAGGAGTAAGTAACTTATATATTAATAACAATATATAATAGCAATAATGAATAATCCTTTTATTTGATATGGCACTTTTCATGCCAGGAGGGTGTCTCAAAGGAGATTTACTGTAAAGTGTAGTGACTATTTAATTGTAGATGACCACGGCAGGCAATTTGCACGTAGTAAGGTCTCAGAGACAGCTCTGAAACAAATGATTGATCTTATCTGGGGGATTTGGGGCTAGGACACCAGGAGAAACTCCCTTTTCTTTTTTGAATAGTGTCATTGGATCTTTAACATCTACCTGAACAGATAGATACTTCCACAGTTCAGTGTCTCATCCAAAGGATGACACTTACAACAACACAACGTACACCCAGCACTGCCATGGACTGTCAGCCTATATCAATAATTCTATGATATATTAGCAACCCAGTTGTTCAGATAGTGAATTCAAAATCCTGATATAAGGCTTTGGAACTCAGGGAAATTTTTCCTGCCAATTATCTTGCAAACTTTCTCTTTTAAACCCTCACATTAACATGTTGAAAATTAATTTAAGCTGTTTACATCTGCCAAAATATGTTGAGGCCTTTATCAATATATAGAGACAGGTGTCATCCAGATACTGAACTAAATTATTTTTTATATTATATAAACACCAAGGTAATTTAAAGATCTGAACTAATTTACGCATGGTTTGACTTAACGTTTATTTCACACAGCAGCACTGGAATGTGAATAGCAGGGTATTTGGAAATCCATTCAATATCATAAGCCTACCTTGTTTCAGCTAAGTAACAACAACACAGCAAAGGTAGCCAGTAAGGAATAAACCAACATGTGCTGTGCATACCAATGTGCACTAGTTTCAGAGGAGGCTTGATACTGGTCTAAATAATCCAGCTTGTGTTTGTTTCATAGGGAAGACTACATCCTGTTTGAAAAAGAAGATTAATTTATTTTGTTTGTTCATGAACAGAATCCTCTGGTTGCTTTGCTGAGGTGGAGAATATAGCATTTTTCTCTTACTAATTGCTTCGTTGTGAGCATGTTTCTAATGCTTTCTGATGGAACAGATTTATCAATGTACTGTATTGCTAAATATTGTCCTATGGTATATTTTCTCCAGATAGTATTGACCCAGGAGGGACTATTTTACTGGGACCCTTGATCAGATTGGATTAAATTACAATATTCGTGAACTGGATTTATTGTAATACTTCTGGTTTGAGAATGTTAAAACGAGAGATTGGAGCTAAATTTGCAAAACAGCAAATCTCAAGGCAGAAGACGATACAAATGTTTTTTTTAATGGATTTTACCAACTTGGGATTCGTGACTCAAGTCATTTTTCACATTTCACAATCCAGTGTTATATTTGCAAACCGAAAATCAAAACAAATCCCAAGACAAGTTTGGATAAAAAAGGTCGGCCCTTCAGCCCATTTGATCTTATTGTGTGAAGCGTTTCAACGAAGTGATAAGTTGCTATATCAAATGTCAGGATTACTATTATTATTATTGTTCGAGATTACCCATCCTACCATCCTTCCATTTCAGCATTGAGCTATGTTTTTTTTAAAAAAAACTATCCAGTGACCTGGCTTCAGCCATCCTTCCTGATAAATGTGTTCTAGTCATTAATTACCCTCTGGTTAAAGAAAACTTCCTGGTGTCTGTCCTGAAATAGCCTTTTGTAACTCAAAACCAATGTCCTCTTGTTCTGCTGCCTCATTACATTTGAAAGTAAAGTCAATATTAACGCAATGAATCCGGTTTGCCCCCAATGACACAATGAAACTGAGAGGAATGTTTTTGTTCCCTTAAGCAGACAAAGTGTAGAGTTACAGCTGAAGTTGCTTATGAAGGAGTAGCACATGTTTCTGAGGTATATAGAAATATCTTGTTTGTCGTGCTGCACAGCTCATCATGTTAAAACTGGCACCTGTGAAGTAGTGGCTCTGCACAGATGTTGCAACAAGAACAAAATTGAAGAACGGTCCCAGACGGTGAAGTGCTCGTGTTTCCCAGGGCAAGTGGCGGGGACAACACACGCTGCCCCTTCTTGTGTTGACGGTAAGTTTGCTCTTCCATAAATTTGCTTTTCCATAGAACCTTTAAGTGTTATATTTTCAGCAAAATAATGAGTCACAAATCTTATGCTGGCAAAGCCTGGAAAAGATCAGAGCTTTGTTTTATTTACAGAAATTCCACGCACACAGTGGTATCTTCATGCTTTACAGGCATGAAGTGGAAACCCCAGCAAGGTAGGAGGAGGGAGTGCATACTGCTCCAATAACAGAGGTTTTAAAGTAAAGTTGAGTTTTGCATTGGAATACTGACTGAATATGGATAAATTCCTATTTGCTCCATTGCTTGAGTTGAAACTTTACCCTGAACCAGGATAGTTACAAGACAGTATCACACAACTTCCGAAGACCCCTTGGATTGTATATTTCAGAAACACACTGGTGTTTGCATTCTTTTTAGTGAGCCATAATGTTTTAATCTTGAATTAAATATGTGTTTACTTTCTGATGTTTATGTTTAACATTACAATGTCAAATTGTATTGGAAACAGCCAAATAACTACATCTGTGTGCTGCTCTAGGTTTTTAGTAAGCTTCATTGTATAATTGCCGAAACGTGGCACTAATACTTTGTGTACTGATGCTTAAGCACTCCAAGACGCTACCCCTTGTGAAGGTGCTATATAAATGCAATTTGTTGTTGTTGCGTAAATGTTTTCTTAACTCTCAAAGGAAAATAAGTTAATAAATTTCTGCTCTGTTTTTTGTTGAACCAGCCTCAATAGTTATACAGAAATGGTGGTGTCAAATGCAGCCTTGCCTTGAAGGAGAGGAATGTAAAGTACTGCCAGATCTTACAGGGTGGAGCTGTGCTACTGGAAATAAAGTAAAGACAACCAAGGTATATCAGTGACCTCTAACCTTTTAAACCAAACAATATTGGAATTTTGAAAAGCAGATCAGTATGATGGTGATATTTCTGAGTTGCACATTTCAAAATACTGAGAAACAATATGATATAGTAATAATATTAATAAAATGCTATAAACCCATTTTAATGAATTCCATGTTACTGTATAATGAAAAGTTCCCACAATCACATGGCTAAAAGTAATTTTGGGGATCAATTGTATTGAAGAATTCTAATTCAAATGCGGTTCTCATTTTTAGCTTTGTAGCCAATATGTTTTTGCATAGAATTACATAAAATTACATAGAATGAGGCTGAAACAGTCCATTTGACATAACTAGACCATGCCAGTGTTTATACTTCATACAAACTTTGACTTCTCCCATCACTCTTTCTTATACACCAATCCATCAAGTTTGCATCACGTTTCGTCTTAAATACATTGATGTTTTTTGCTTCAACCATAGTTTGACAGGGAGTTCCACTTCCTCACCACTCTCTGTGTACAAAGAAGTTCCTCCAAAAATCCTTTCAGATCTTCTACCAGCAATCTTATATTCATGACCCCTCATTTCGAACTCACCAACAAGTGGAAACAGCCCATCAATTTCCACCCTAATAAATCCTTTCATAATCTTCAACATATTTTTGCAGGAGTGTCTTGATTAAATAGCCTTACGGTACTAGTGTTGAAATGGCCATCATGAAAATTGGTAGGCTTAAGTCCATAATTTACTTAAAAAACCCAACATTTGATAGGTACCACTTTCCATTACAACCCTCTCTATAGCACTGTAACATGGGAAGCTATACATTTGCTAATGGCCAGTTGAAAATCCAACTGGGTTATGCAGTACTGATTAGGATTAGCCACATGCCCTTCGACAATTGCTGCTTAACACCAGTATGCAGAGACTGTGTACCAATCATTTTTCTTGTTCTAAAATAAAATTATGCTCCTGTGGAATAAAGATCACCAACGGAGAGAGGTGAGACACTGAATTTATTTTACATTTCCTATTGAGTTTTCTTCTCCCCACTCGTTGAAAGATAATTGACGAGCAATCATGAATGCCCAGTCATAAGCCAAGTACAATTGAAGATAGGCACTTTAATCGCCGATTGAAGGCACTATAATCCTGCACATCCATTATTCTAGAAAGACTTGCATAATTTTTTTGAAAATGAGCTAAATTACATGTAGAATAATGGAAAGGGGGAAAAAAAACATGCTGCAAATCTGAAATTGTTGTGATATTGATCACGTGCATGAGTAGATCCGTACAGTTTCACAGCACATTCCACTCATCTGTATTTATATCAATGTTGATGAAATATGAAGGCTTTGCTGGGACATAGTGTATGAATAGATTGTCAGAATAAGCAGGGCTGCGCAAGTTTCTGGATCAGATAGGAGAGCAGAGTGCCTTGGTGATGGTGATTAAAAGTAGTCGGGAAGAGAACTGAGTGATGCAGTCAGTTAGCAAACTCTTCTACTCCTGAGAGATAGCGTTGAATCCTGTCAAGACTGATGAGAAGAAAATCTGTACTTTCTGACAGCCTTAAGGATCCTAAATGAAAGGGGTTGGTGTGGTTTCAACTCAGTAGTCCGTGGGTGGCAAAGCACAGCACATAGGTGCCTATGATCTGTTGCTGCTGCTTTTAGTTCTGGCTTAGGCTCAAGGTGGCAGATAAGGGCATTGAGACAAGCAATATTCCTGCGTTTTGGGAAATTGTTCAACAAAATTTATTACAAATGTAAAAAATTTATGCATCATCACTGGACAATCACCACTGGGATAAAACGGCAATGTTTCATACCCAGATGTATTGTCACATTTGCATCATCACATCAAATCTATTGCATTGCATTTCTCACCCCTATATTAGCAAATCCAGCACTAAAAAGCGTACCATTGTCAGGACTGTTTTTTTAAAATCTTGCTTTAAAAGTTCAAGGCAGCTTAAAAATCTTGATTAAGTAAGAACCACCATTGAAACAGGGAAGTTGGTGCACTTTTGGGGAGCAGAGCAGAGAATGAGCAAATGGCTTATTAAGACTTAATAAATGCCATTATTGCCAGATCAGGAAGTGCCCTGGAAGTGTGAACAAGCTTCAAGATTTGGCACTAGCTAAAGTCATGTTGTCCCATAGTTACACATTCTTTGATGCATTACTAAGGAGATGAAAATATGATCTGCACAAAAACCTTTCCAACACACTGTGCTTTCTCCAGCAGATATATTATTATATATTATTATTAGCAAGTAGGAGATTTGTACCTTTATGGTCTTTGTCCTTGGTTCATGGATCACAATTGACAGATCTCAGGGGTGAAAGTACAGGAGTAGCGGGTAGGAGTGCCACTATCCAGAATTATACATACTTTACACTTCCTGCTTTCAGTTTCCACTGCAAATAATATATCTTAACAGAGGTGACCGTCAGAATAAGTACGTACCTCGAGATGCTACCCACATTTAGGGAACAATCATTTTCAGAATATTCTCCCACTTGCAGGCTTCTTTGTGGAGCTTTATACAGCCTTTACTTCACTAAGCAGAAACAATGAGGCGACTCACTGCTGCTATCATCCGATGGGATCTCCATGGAAAGCACTCCTTCCCTTTCTCTCGATTCACTGTGAAGCATCCGTTTCAGAGCAATCATAAGCTACCTTTCCCTGCCTTTCAGTCTCCATTGTGTGATGCCTTATGTTTTTCTAGAGGAAAATAAAGGTATTCATGATCTGTCCATTTTCTCACCGACAACAATGATGGCAAGCAGATGTGCTCTAATTCATAACACCTACAACCACTGCACAGAGTCTCTGCTCAAATCGGAGAACTGTTGACAGGGGTCTCAATATAAACAAACATTGTTCAAAAAAAGAACACTGCCTGGGACTTATCGAGCGATAAGCATTTTGCTTTCTGAAGCACTGAGTCTGGGACTCATTATCCCTTTAAAGCAACAAGGCAAGGTTGGAAATGAATATTTTCACAGAAAAGACTTTTATTTTGCGTACCATTGGGATTTGAAAATAATTATTGGACACTGCAGATTTAAATAATTAATGTAGCTATTTAATTAGTCTTTAAAGGCATTTTCGGAACAGCACTTGTAAACAGGAGTGACAGATGTTTCCTCCATCGGTTCACAGAGATAGGATTATTAGAAGGTAAAGCCCAATGCCAGCTTTCTGCTGAAAGCCCCTTTGAATTTGCATGAAGAGTATTCTGTAATTACATCTTACAGCAAACCTGTGCAAGGAACACTCATTAGTCAAATAGTTCTGTCAGAGGAACTAAAAATATTTGGCAATAAATTAATACAGAGTGTCTCTTCCTTACATTTTCTTCAGAATCAGCTCTTTCTTGTGTAAGTCATTAAAAAAACAGTTTCCTGACCAAACAGTAATCAGTCCATGTTCTGGAATTCCCACACATCTATCTAAGTGCAGTGTATGTCGGCCAAATAAATGCTCCTTAGAATTTTCTCAAAAAGTACAATTTTACTCTTTAAAGCATTCCCTGCTCAGGCACTTAATATAAATCTCAGCATAGGGTATTCAGTTTTACACCAAAGCTTTTCTATATGTAATTTAACTTTTACTCATCTAAATAAACAAGAACTCTATGTAGCTAACACTTTAATATGTGTCGACGAGGGCATCTCTGCAGTTTCAGAGATTATCAATTCAATGTAGAACTACTTACATGGTGCTGGTAATACAACACTTCAAAAGTAACTCACTACGTGAAACACTTAACATTTCAACATTACATCAAATGCAAATATTGTTATTTAAACTGAGAAACCACTAGCTTTTCCTCCGAGTGAAGAGTGAAACAATTTCCACTATCAGCGTGATGGTTGGAGAATGGGAAATGTGATATTTATTTGAAGGAAGGATATAGAGGTAACTCTGGAGCTACATGACAGTGATTCTGTCACATATGTGGGGTAAAATGTTAGAATGATACTGAAGGAGGTGATACTGAATTACCTCATGAGATATGGGATGAAATGAGGAAGTGAGTATGACTTAATGGAAGGATACGTGTACCTGATAAATCTATTAAAGTTTTAAGAGTTAGGAGATTTGGTTGATAAAGGGAACTGGGTGGTTATTATGTACTGTGTTTGGATTACAGCAAGGCCTCTACAATACAACACAAGAGATTGCGTCACAAGGTTGAAAGACACAGAATAGCAGGGAGGATTTTGAAATTGGATCCAAATTTGCTGTGTCAAAGAAATTAAGGGGCTGTTCAGTCAGATTGAGAGAAAGTGACGACTAATGTGTCTTATTAGACCCACTACCGATTATTCAGTACATACCCAAATCTGGAAGTGGGACACAAATACATTTGACCATGTTTGCCGAAGATCCCAAATTGGAACAAGTAGACAGATACAGATAAATCTGGATGAATTGTGAGTTGGGCTGAGAAGCAGCAGATGCAGTTTAATACTGACAAATATGATGAGGCCGGAATGGGGAACGGAAAGTGTGAATACAAACTAAACCATATATCCTCTCAGGTCACAAAGAACAGGATCTGTGGATATTAGTAGAAATCCCTGAAACTCATATGGTAACTTTCAAAAGATTTACATGTTTTATCAGTCTCTTGATTGCGCTAATTTCACTGTTAGTCATGATTGTGTTCCCTACAAGCAGGGGTCACTATTTAAAGTGTAATAAAATGATACTCCTTTTGAGCTTTGATTTATTTTTTTTACAGATTATATAAATGAAATAGTGAGCCTACATGACATTTTGATGCATCTCAAATCGATATTTTGGCACTCAGCGTGATTCTCCACTGGTGGGTAAAGTTACCAATGATTGCTGTCTTTGTTACAAACTTTGCTTGCTTGAACCTGCACTAGGAAATGTATAAGAACAATAAATTACTAAATGAATAAGTAGTCTAGTGATATGATGTACAGTGCAATACAGAATTGTTTTAATGTGATAACGGGGTCAAATACACACAGATCCTTGATACACACATATCCCTGGTAAACCCCTCTTATTACAACAGCCTTTCAAACTGACTGTTTAATCTTTAGTGTGGGTAAAGCTCTCTCTGACTGGACTATATGCTGGCTGCCAATATCACTCATAAAAGTGTTTCATAACAGTGTCAATGGAGATATCAACTGCCAAAAATAAGTTTAAAAAATGTTTTTTTTTTAAAGGAATGAAGATGTTTTCTCCTGGTATTGTAACTAAATTATTGATCAGAAGTAGGGTCATAACTTCACTTGCACTTTGTTCGCCGTGTTGCCTTCCTTTCATAATATCACATAAAATCAATACACTATGACAGTTCAAATAAATGCCATCAATGGCTATGTAATTGAAGACAAGATATTACTTGTATTGCAAGTTGCCAAGTTGTTTTAGCTGAGATGTAACTGAGTCTTACAATTCATTTTCACTCATCATAGTTTTGCAAAAAAAACACATCTCTTACAAAAAGAAGCATTACATTACATCCTTTCGAAATCCTTTTAATCTAAAACTAATAACAGCGTGGTCTACTATCAGGGCACAACCCCAGATCCACTTGCAATGTGAGAGCTCATTTTAATGGATTTATTCAGTTCCACAGAATTCTGCTCCCAGATGGAAGCTTGTCATTCTGTTGTATCTGCTTGGAATAATCCTAGCAGGCACTGGGTTGTTACTAACATTTCATCTTCTACAGAATTCAGAGCTAGAGTCTATTCTTAGAAATGAACAGGCAATAATCACAAAACAAATGAGCTTGCCATTTGAACCCAGTGCCCAGATTTTGAAGTCACATTCTCCCTCTGGTCATACAATGCTGACGTACACACTGTTCTCACCCGCACAAAACTCCGCTCCCCGATCACCCCAGTCCTTGCCAGACTGCACTGGCTGCCTATCCCAGAGAGGATCGATTTCAAGATCCTCACCCTTATATTCAAGTTCAAGTCCCTGCATTCCTCGGCACCCCCGTACCTCTCTGACCTCCTCTCTCCTCAAAACAGTACCCGTTGCCTCCGTTCCTCTGGGTCTGGCCTCCTCCTTGTCCTTCGCTCCACCCTCGGCAGCCGTGCCTTCAGCCACTATGCCCCGAGGCTCTGGAACTGCCTTCCTCACTCCCTTCGCCTCGCTCCCTCCCTTCCCATTTTCAGGTCTCTGCTGAAGACCTTTCTTTTCGACCGCACCTTTGGTCACCTTCCTCCCCTCCCCCCCGGCTCGGTCCCGGGATCCGTTACTGTAAAGCGCTCTGAGATGCCGTCCGGCGTGGAGGACGCTATATAAATCCAAGTTGCTGTTGTTGTAGTAGTTATAAACAGATCAGCTGATGTCCAGCGTGATTTTCTGCCACTAGATGAAATTATGCATGGTAAAATGCAGCAATTCATAATGGATTCAAAGTGATTGTCACATGAAATCCGGGGTGAAATGTTGCATTTATCACCCACCACTATTTTCGGCTCGGATTTTAAGAAACGATCGCTGTGATCTGGATTTGCCAACCAGAGGGAAGAGTTGCATCGAGTAAAGAGAGCACAAAACATTGGGGCTTATGCAAATACAATTTGATATGATAGGAAGACGAGCCATCTCATTACTTCAGGGTTCATTTACAATAGGGAAGTGATTCAGTAAGTTAAAAGGCCAAATCTCATCCCGTTCATTTTTCCGTTGTGGCTACTTGGCCCATCTAAGATGAGAAACTCACAGTGTGGAGAATCAAGGCAGCAAGCCCACAATAGCAATTCCATGATGCAGTGGATATTAATATATTAACCTACCTATCCACCACACTTTTGTAAGTTTGACATCTATTTCATAAAAATAATGTTACATGGAACAAAGCAGATCAAAGTTCTGCCTGGAGTCTTTTTCAAAACACATTTATCCCATTGTTTATTTTGTTTTACCCATCTGTCAGTGTCAGCATATCTTTTCTGCGCTGAATGCTGGACAAATTTAAATCCACCATTTTACTTGAGTCACACAATGCATTGGAGTCTTCTGAAGCAGTTCGTGGAATATAAATGTGCCCCAAACAACCTAGAACTCACCAGTGAATATTTTCCATCAGTCAAAAACTCATCCACGTCTGCATTAATTCTATATATGAAATAATATTCAAGTATTGGCCAAATAATCAATACTGAGCCTTTGCTTTGCTTTCTTTAACAATTATAACATAAGATAATGGTTAACCAAATAGATTTCTGCTGTAATTTGAATTGGGGATAAGACACGTAAGCTATTAATGAAATTCTCAGTGAGCATAATGCATTAGCACAACCTAATTGTCTCACTTGATGAATTTTAACATTACATTGACCAAAAAGAAAAATAATACATTTGAGGACTGTATGTACCTGGTAATTGAGTGACACAATTATGTCACCAGCCTCCTGAAAGTAAATAGGTTGAAGCTCCATTTATTTTCTTACTTAGCTGAAATATTTTTAAAAAATACATACTTTCCTTGAACACAGATGCACACAATAGTCGCAAGCAATCAACTGAAAAGAGAGAAGGGAAATAATGGGGAGAAAAAAATTATTGTTACACTGCCACTTGTGCAGACACTCAATAACACACTAACACAAAACAGACTAGGAGCAGCCATTGATTTCTGTGAAGAGATTATTAGCACCTTTGTCACAAGAACATGATGTCAAACTGCACACTACAGGCTGAAATTACAAGGCAACTCAACTAATAATGGCACATTAATATTGCAGAACCAAAGCCAATCAAAACTCCCAATACAACATTCCAAAGGGAAATGGATAAGAATCAATATAAAAGCATATGGGGAAATTGTAGGGAATTGTGAGCAGTGTACATTTCTCTAGCGGAGGAGATAGCACCAGCAGGATCCCTAGACTCAATTGGAATTTCTCCCCTACAGTATATACATATACTGTTGGAGTATGTGTTATGGTGGGCCTTCTGATGTGTCTTAAATGGAGAATATCTCCCCGGAATCGTTGGGGATCAGTGGACTTAGGATATTGATTGAGCAGAACAGTTCCTCCCTCTCCCCAGCCCTGTTGAGTATTTCCAAATATTCTTTAAACCTTGAGAAAAAAAAAGGAAATATCAAACCCCATGATCAAACACTGAAAGGGATCAAGCATGCAGCCACATATTTATTTCATCATATGCATATACTACATGAAGTGGGTAAATATAGTTTCCTTCAATAAATAGTTCAAACTACTGTATTTCATGTACTCACACTAATGGAGGTAGCCTATTGGTAAACACTTAGCATTGATATTTATTTATTCATATGGTTACAATTCTGTCTTAAATAACCACCTATTTTATTTGATATAAATTATAAAATAATTTGAAGGGTTCTGAATATTGCTGATCAGCTAGTGCTCCACAGGCCTGATGTTTTCACTGTTTGCTCTTTGTAGGTGACTCGATAGTTGACGATGGAGGTTGAGCTGCTTTTTAAAGTTACTGAAGCAGGAGCATTGGATGCTTTCCTTTATTTATTGTGTGCTCCAGCTCCCCAGACAAAGCAACTGTTCCTAATCTGGGATACTTTTACTTGCTCTGAGAAAAGTGATTGTGCAGTTCTGTTCATTTAATTGAAGTGAAATTAAGAGGAAAACAAACCAAAAGAGTGCCAGAAGGTGAAAATATATGGATTTCCAGTGTGGCATTTCTTACCAGGATAACAAAAGACTACTCAATGAAATGTATCTTTGACCTTGTGCTACTGAATTTGGAAATATTGCTTAACAGCGTGGAGGAACATAAAACCATTTCTTTCTTGGATTCATCATTGCGATTGCTACTGTTTTCAACACACTTGAACAAATGGCTCATATTTTTGTATAAGAACAGTGGATTTAGTGGCCCAGAAGGCAAAATTAATACGTCTTAATTATTATTAGACTGTACGCACTTGTGTATCAAGTGTCTTTTGCAGATGTGGTCCACTGGAAGATTTTCATCTGCATTCTGATTTTCAGCTCTGAACATTTTGAAAGGCTAAATCGATTTCACAGCTTGGATTTTCCTTTGTTATAGAAATGAATAAGTCTGTTAAATGTGAATAACTGCAGTTTGCTATTGACATTAAATGCTTATCTGTATACATATATCATAGGAAACGAGAATCCCTGAAGCAGCTGTACTGCTTATTAAATTCAGTTCAAAACTATTTTAATAACTTTAATGTCTGCAGTACCTCAAAATGATGCTCATCATGCTGAAACACATTGTTTACTTATTGATTTCATCATTGTTTAAATTGTGGATATGGAATATGAAAGTACGATCATGTTGGAACTTTTTTTTGCTTTATCTAAGTATTATTATTTTGCTACCTACAAGGATTGCTTATTTGAAAGTCATGCAGGAATTACATTGATCACTCAAGCCTCATCATCTGTTCGAATATTCAGCCCTATTATTTAATGTGAAAGCAGCCTACCAGATATTATTTAGAGATACAGATGTTTGTGTACTGCGCAAAACAAGGGCGATTTGGTAACCCAGAGGGAAACATGTGGACCACATGTTTAACTCAGTGACGCTGTGAAATGTAGCACAGTTTTGAAACCTTTTTGTTTATTGAACTTGTATAAATCTCGTTTTAAATGTAAACAGTAAATAAAATCTCAAGTAGCAAAACAATGCAATTATTGTTATTAATGAAAAATATTTCTTGGCGAAAAAGAAAACCGCCACACAATGATGGGCACTTCTGTAGTTGCAGTATTCCTCACAGCTATGAGTTTATTATGGACCTTTTGCTGCTTTATGCCATTGCAGGTTCGTAAATTTTTGTAAAAAGTCTCTGTAAGATGTCCCCCCCTTATCGACAGGATGGCATTTATGCAGTTGTAAAGTTCCAGGAGAAAGAGCATTCTTAATGTACTTTTTTTTAAAAATGAAGATAAATGGATAACTAGGAAACATTTTAAGGTAGCTCTCCTTTCTTGGGTTCAAACAAATGCCTACCTAATCTGCATTGTGTGGCATTGGGTTTGGACACAGACCCTGCACCTCTGAGCAGGGGAATGAATAAGAGTCGTTCCCTCTACCCACCACACAAAGTCACAGTGTGCTTTCCAATCATATTCTACATTCCATGCACCATTCCCATCAGTCATTTGTTCTGTGAGCAATTTCTAACTCAGCTTCACAGCCCTGCCCATTGCACAGAGCAAAATCTTAGAAGAAATGACAGTGTTCATGCACATCACCCAGTGTAATAAGTGAGAGGAAATTGGAACTGCTTCATGGTTCACCCAAGTACATTCCAGTCCGATTCAACACAATCAGCCACTGGCTCCTACCAGGAACTGCTGCCCTGACCTCTCCTTTTTTGGCAGTAAGGATTCTATGTAATCCCTGGTAGTCTCAGCCCAATTCAAATCAGAAACCGGGCCATAGCACAAAAACTGCCTACAATTTGTCTTGAATGTCGTGGAACTGGCAACCTCAGTCAGAGAGGCTACAAGCATTACTGGTCCAGAAATTGGAAACTATTATACTGGGGAAAAGGAAGATGGTCGAAAACAACAGGTGCAGGATTGTTGACTGCAGCAAATTTAAGACAGACACCAAGGACTATTTCTTTACAAAGATGGTAAAGGTTAAGATGAAGAAAGCCTTTGACCCATTTAAACTAATTCTTATTCTGAAATAACAGTTTTACCATCTTTGCATTACAGCATCAAGCCATTTGTTAAATGCCATCTAGCATCCTAACGTCTATCACCCTTTCTGGTTATCTGTTCCAACTGTTAATCACTTTCTTTGGAAAGAAATGCTTCTGATGTTCATCTTAAATTTGCATGCGACAATCCTGCTGTATCCAGGTATCCTGGAGTATTTGGCACAATTTGCTTTTGCATTCCATTAACAAGAACAACAAATTAGATTTGTATAGCACCTTTCACGTCAGGAGGATGTCCCAAAGTGCTGGACAATCAGGGATCTGCACCTGAACTGGTGGTTGGGATCAGGAGAGATGGAGAGGAGGGGTAAGAGGGTGACCGAAGACACAGTCGAAGAAGAAGGACTTGGGTCGAATCTTGAAGGAGGTAAGGGACAGAGCGAGGCAGAGAGACTGTGGGATTAACTATCTAAATTGCCTCCTGTAAGGTATCACATTGCAAGACTGAAGATTATTTAATTGCTCTTAGTTTATCTTGTAACCCAGAGGATCATCCTTCTTCCTCTCCTCTGCACAGCCTCAAGGACTGGGCAGTCCCCTTATGCCTGCATGCAGCACTCCAGGTGCAGCCTGACCAGAGCTTTGTTGCTTAAGCATGAGTTCTTCAAACATTAGCTCAACTGATTTGACAATTGTTTATCTTGTTTAGTTGCACCTTGCACGCTGCGACATGGTGAGCGAGCAGTCAACTAATATTCTACTTGCCAAGATCATACCACCCATGCAGTGCATGTTCCACTGGAGTAAAGGTGCATTGATGAAGCAGAGCAAGTTCTATATCTGGTTATGCTGCCTGCACCTGAGCTGGGAAATGTTGTTGCAGGCAGAGGATGTAAAATTAAAATAAATGTGTTCTATTTTCCAGCACTGACATATCTCACCTTAATCAGCACAATGTACACCAACACATCAAATGTTCAGACAATTTCATAAATCACAAGTCCAAAGCATAGATGTTTTATAACTGCCATCTGAATCTGCAAGAATAGATTATAGCCTTGAAGTGATTCCATGGTATCTCTATATAAATACGGGAGACCTCACGGCGGTTTGCAACAGCATTCACTAATAATGACTGATTTGCTGACAGGAATCTTGCTGGTTACCAGCAGTACATCACAGTCGATGCACGTGCTCCCCATTCTGAAGCACCAGCAGTAAATTGAAGGCTTCCTATAGGTTTAAGATCCTTGTTATTCTGCAGTTTGACTGCCCACCCCCTCCACTCTGCCAACTCAGCTTTGCCTACTCGCCCCTCAAGACACCTTTGCTCCCATTCTCAGGAAACCGCTCTTTAAATCCTTCCAACTCATACGCCCTCCGATTTTCAAATCCCATCTGAAAACCCCTTGTTTTCATTGCTCTTTTAGCATCTCCCTCCTAGACTACCACAAGATTTCCCACCCTACCTGGGCTTCCATCCTCTCTCTGTAAAGCACTTTGAGACATTTTCCTATGTGAAATCCATTAAAAAAAAACTACAAGTAGTTGTAGAGTTGGGCGTGATGTGTTGCTGTTAGAGTTTCTTAGCAATTATTGTTGAATCCTATTGCGAACTCTTACTTTTTCCAACCTCATGGTGTTAATCTCATGGGATGCCTCTCTTCAGTTTTGGGCACATTATATTCTGTGGTGTCATTGACTGTGCCCTATGAGGCTGACGTATGATTATGGTCACAATGAAGGATTAATAATTGTGATATAATTACTGCAAGTTTATAGAATAATAATTTGCACTTATTACCAGGAAATCCCAGTGGCCACCGCATATTATGCAAACATATTCAGTATTCAAGAGGAAATATTTTGTATTCCTTAGGAAACAAGCAGAGAGAGAGAAAAATAGCAAACAAAATCTAATTTGGGGATCGGAATAACAAAATAAATATAAATCATAACTTTATCAAGCAACAATTTATAAAAATTAGATATTTTTTATACCACACAAATGCTTAAAATGTTAAATGTTTTTTCCTTCTCATTCAATTGTAGCTGATGAAATATTGAAAGGATGTGATCATGTGTGTTGTATAGTTAGAATCTCATAGGAATTTGTGACTTTGAGTGCATATAAAAACATAAATCTCATTCATTTTGTTAATTTCAAATAGCAGCATGTTTAAACCAATTTACCAGCATGACGTCCATCAGTTTCTGAATAGAATTTATCTGGGTGGGACGGGGTTTTCTTTGAGATAAAATATGATATAAAGATTTTTTTTCATGCAATTGCTAGAATATTCTTTTATAAATTTCCAAATACTGAGATAGATGTGCACACCCTCACGGACCCTAATGTATGCTTTTCCTAGCTTGTTCAAACACACACATTCTCATACGTTTTTGTCTTATGCACAAACACACTTAGTGGCATAGTAGATCTTAAAACATGCTCACTCACAAAAATAGTGATTTCTTATGGGATTCTTCAATACGGACTCCTAGTTTGAAATAGGAGCTCCTTCAGGTAAGTGGAAGTACGTCATGCTGACTCCCAGCCTAGATTGTGTCAGAGTAAAGCTTCATGGATTGTGTGATGTATTTCTGGTAATTGGAAGGAAATCCTAGCCAAGACTCCGGAGTTCATCCACAAAATACACAGTAATTACCTATTACCTGTGAAGTGCTTTGACACGTTCTGCCAACTTGAAAGGATTATTAAGATTATTATATTTTTATGAAGGAATCTTGAAAACTATAGAACTATGTAAATTACAACATAGGAGACCATTTGACTCAATGTGCTCGTGCTTCCTGAAAGAGCTATCCGTTTACTCTCACTTGCTCATATATTCCCAAACTATGATCTAATGGAAGATTTCAAACTTTTGAAAGGGTTTAAGATGGTAAATAATGAATGCTTATTTCCATTATTTTTGCTCAGTCAGGTGTCTGACGTGTAGAAACCCATCACCATACTTAAGGGTTTCTAAACAAGACAGAGTTCCACGTGTGTGCCATCTACACCTGGAAATTTCTCTGTGTTTAGCATGGAATGCACACTCTCTCCCTCCAGGAGGGAGACATCCTGCTTATCTCATTTCATAAAGTACAGTATTAGGTGCAGTTTGGCAAGAGCTAAGGCTTGGGAGATTCCAGAGTGTGTTGGCCGCTGCTGGAGTTTAACCAGCTAAAATTGCATGGGCTGCCATTAAGAGCACTGTTTGCCAAACTTCCCATGCTTGTTCAGCTCGGACCATTCTACACCTTAGGACTTTGACTTGGTAAGATTAACAGGAGCCAAATTAGAAGAATTCCTGCTCACAGTAATTTGTCTGCACCTCCAAGCCCTGTTAAGGAGCCAAGTTGGATGTTTTGTTATCTGCAGTGCCTTGGAGTACTGTGGACCCACCTGGCTCAGGAACCGGACTATTGAGACCGCCACAGAGGGTTGATTCCATTCCTATATTTTGTTGTTGAGCAAATCATCTTGGAGCCAGCTTAGCTCCCAGGCAATCCTGCTTACCTCCCCTCCACATATTTTCATTTGGGCATGAACTCAAGATGATTACCAGAAGAATGAAAGGGGACGATTATAAAAAAAGAAATCTACAAGAAGGCTTATTACGATATGGAATACATTACCACAAGGAGCTATTGAAGATGGCCAATTACATAAAATACAAAATTAGATAACAACTTGAATAAATATATAAAAGGGTGTGGAGATAAGAAGATTGGATTCTGTTGCCTTAAGAATAAGGTAGTTTCATTTTTAGACGGATAACGTTGAGCAACAATTTAATGAAGAGGAAATTATTTTATTAATGAGATATTCACTTAATATACACAGAAGCTGATGTTGGATGGCTGTGTGTTGATGTGAATAAGAATGTCACTGACCTACTCTAATACACATTGCAGATCCTGAGAACAACTGTGTTCTGCAAGATACAAGTTATGCATTTCCTCTTATGACTCTTGAGGTTTATGAGTTGA